ATTTTCACCCAGGTCACAGGTCACGAAACACACACGATCTTTCGAGAGTTGGACCCGACAGGAGCGACTCACTTCTGCCATCCAAACAAACAATCCAAACAAACAAACAAACAAACAAAACAATAACGATGGCGGTTTCTGGAATGTCAATTTTTCAACGCGTGACATTTCACAAATGGGTATTAGTCTACTCAGGTTTAACATTACATTAACGCGCCAAAGTGGTGACAGAATCATTAGTTCTATAACTAGAATTCTTGTTTTTAAAATAATACTAGCTGGGCCCCCTTTCGATGAAAGGAATGATCGGTGCTTTAATATCAACTAAAAGCCATTGTCCTACTATATTTACTCTCTACTGAAATGGGGGAAATAAATCTTGAGAGATGCAAAAAATTAGAAAGTCTAGATCTATACTCTCAAATCAATATGCGGCTCCCGAAATATCACTTCCGGATTTTCTAAAATTACAGAGACAGAATCGTCGGCCTACAAAAGCGATCGGCGAAATAAAGAAATTTAGCTTTTTGCTGCAAAACGGCCTCAAAACTGAAAAAAAAACGAGGGGCATCATGATCTGGAGAATATTTGCATGTCGATCGATGCAGCCATTAAAAAGCCTTTTGAATAGCAAAATTCGGCCACCATAAAATAGATAATAGAAAAATGAAAATAAATTACAATTTTATTGATCCCAGAAGGGCAATTTGGTTTACAATGGCAAACATACTTACACACATTATAAATACATAACTATACATACATACATACATACATACATACATACAGACATAGGTTCATACACACATACATACATACAGACATAGGTTCATACACATATACATACATAAATACACAAAATATCACAACAGTACAGAACAATTTTATAACCATGCCATTGCCGGTCGCCACTGAGCAGCGCCCTGTATTTTGAGCTAGGGTTGTCTTGTCTTTCTCAAAGACACACCTCCCCAGTGACCACCTATCTGATCCCCGTGTCACCGACATTGCTTGACTTTACATTTGAGTCGAAACTCACTGCTCACTTAGCCACTGGAGTCCCGAAGAAGGTTATAAACATGTTCTTATGAACCATAGAATTGTAAATGGGCTGATTTATCAATGCCATGCTCACACTGTGCCGTAACAACAAAGGGGGGAACTGCAGCATTTTCTTTCCTCACCCTTACTATCGTCATTATTTCCTCTACTTCTTTTGTATGTTTGTCACTCTCTTGTGAACTGCTATTTCCGGGATGCCTTGATAGTCGAAGCAGACTTTGTGCTGTTGAGGTTAGAGAGGTGAGCAGAGTAAGCCTGATTCCCTGTATGGACTTCTCTGTTGACATCCATCCCTTTGTGCTCATATGACCTTATGCAGTTGTGAGCGCCGTAAAACCTTACTAAAACAAAACTCGATCTCATCTATCTAAGCGTCCTTCCTCCTGCATAGATTCTAATGCTTGCATCGTAACTATTGTGTGTTCGGATTAGACGAAAAAAAAAGGTATGATTTTAACGCCTCTATCAACACTAGCAGGTTAATAAAAAGGCGGGGCCTCCGAGTTAACGTCCATCTCCGAAAGGACCAAGCCAAATGGGAATTTCGAGGAAAGTGTCTTTCCCAAGGACACACCGTCGGACCGAGCTGAGGCTCAAACTCCCGAACCGGCAAGCTCACGAACAAGAGCCCACGGGTAGCCTAACCGCTAACCTGGATTAAATGATACATAAAAACGTTCTCTTTTCTGAGCTTTTTAGAACACGAAACAATACGTTTCCATCGATGATGACTGAAAGAATACCGGGAACGAGGCACGATGGATCTTATTATGGAGTGACGTGGCTGCACACAAAAGTAGGAGCGGATATTGCTCTAAAAGAGCATAATTTGTTTGAGAAACGAAACAAACTATTGTCATCGTCATTGATGACGATGTTTGTATTAGGCACATAAATAGTGGAGGTTCTAAAATATTAATTACACTTAAAAAAAACAACAACGATTATTGACAAAATTTTAATGCACCTAGGTTCAAAGAGTATGGGTAGGGTGGG